CATCCTTAAGATCCAAGACAGTGTAATGGTGTTCTGGGTCCAAGAGACTTAGGAGGGTGTACGGATTTGGAACTGTAGGATGAACAGTTTCTACCCGTTTATTCACCTCCCTCAAGTCCTGCACAGACCGATAGTCCTGTGTGCCTGGTTTTAGNCCCCCCCCCCCACGAACTGGTGATACAACTATTTGTGAAAATGCGCCTTTCAGGTATTGGAGGCGGCATGCGGGCACGAGCGGATGGCCAGGTCTTTTGGACTGGCCTGGGAGTCAGGTGGATCACTTGGGGTCAGTAGTTTGAGACCAGCCTGGCCCACATGGCAAAACTCTGTGTATACTAAAAATATAAAAATTAGCCAGGCGTGGTTGCGGTAACCTGTAATCCCAGCTACTCAGGAGACTGAGGCTGGAGAATCCCTTCAACCTGGCATGTGGAAGTTGCAGTGAGCTGAAATCATGCCACTGCACTCCCGCCTGGGCAACAGAGTGAGACCCTATCTCCAAAAAAAAAAAGTGATATAGAATAGGTACAATCAGCAGGCATTTACATAGGAATGGTAAGTAGTTCCATGAACTTTTCATTTATATACATGTGCACGAGGTCATAATGTAAAATGTTTCACTGTGGTCTGGTATTGTTTGTTTTTGAGACTGAGTCTAGTTCTGTCACCTTGGCTGGAGTGCAGTGGCATGATCTCAGCTCACTGCAGCCTCTCCTGCTCCCAGGCTCAAATGATTCTTCTGCCTCAGCCACCCGAGTAGGTGGGACTACAGGAATGTGCCACCACACCCGGCTAACTTCTGTATTTTTAGTAGAGATGGGGTTTCACCATGTTGTCCAGGGTGGTCTTGAACTCCTGGGCTCAAGTGATCCAACCTCCTCTGCCTCACAGAATGCTGGGATTACAGGCGTAAGCCACTGTGTCCAGCCTTTTTGTTTGTTTTTTGAGATGGAGTCTCGCTCTGTCACCCAGGATGCAGTGCAGTACTGTGACCTTGGCTCACTGCAGCCGCCTCCTGCTGGGTTCAAGCGATTGTCATGCCTCAGCCTCCAAAGTAGCTGGGATTATAGGCATATACCACCATGCTTGGCTAATTTTTGTATCTTTAGTAGAGAAGGGGTTTCACCATGTTGGCCGGGCTGGTCTTGAACTCCTGACCTCAAGTGATCTGCTCACCTTGGCCTCCCGAAGTGCTGGGATTACAGGTGTGAGCCACCAAGCACAGCCTGTATCACAGTGGTTTCTGGTCAGAAAGGTCTGAAAAACACCAGCTTAATACAAACACATTACATAAACTTTTGTATGTAAGACTTAATTTAGAAAAAATGTCAATGGATTTACTATGAGAGCAAAATTGCAGACATGTTGATAAGCACAATGCTTCTTTTCCCTTTCTTGTCTTGTAGGTAAGCAACTAGAAGCCATTTGTGTCAAGGTAACATCTGGAGAAATGAAAGGTCAGGAAAGGCTGGTTCCCTTCCAGCCCCAAACTGCAAGACAGAGCCAGCCGCCCCAGGGGAGTTCGTGCTTGATGGGGCTCCACGTCACCAGGCCTCAGCTGCTCGGTGTACAGCCGCTTGTGAGAACCGAGCCACAGTCGTGCCTCCTAAGTGACTTACGCCAACCTCCTGCTCAGGTGTTTGTACAGGGTCCACTGCCAGCCCTCCAGGCAGTCCCTGCAAAGAAAGTCCCAGCCCCCAAGGCTCCAGATGGACAGGGCTCCATGTTGACCCCCTTGTCGGCCTCCGACCCACTGGCAGTAACATCTGTTTCATCCAGTTCAGCACACCGATTTATTTCAAACTTGCATACAAAACATACTGAGAAACTAAAAAAGTCGTTAAAAGTAAAGACACGTTCTGGACGGATATCTCGACCTCCCAAGTATAAAGCTAAAGATTATAAGTTCATAAAAACAGAGGATTTGGCAGACGGTCATCTGTCAGATTCTGATGATTACTCAGAACGCAGTGTGGAAGCAGATGAAGATGAACGGAAGCGGCAGGTGCTCTTTCACTTACCAAGCTGCTTCCTGAGGCCCAAAAGCTTTAAGTGTGAGACTTGTGAAAAGTCATCTATAGAAAGGGGGCTGACCCGGCATTTTACACTTAACCCAGGCCATGGCCACCTGGACCCCAAGATGGTGCTGAGAAAGGGAGTGGGCACACCCTCCGGGGGGCACGAGAGAAAGGACGCTCAGCCTGACCTTCCCAGAGCTGTCCACGCCAGCAGCTCCCCGTGAGGGGCTCACTCCTGCTTGGTGACAGAGTCGGCGCACCGTGGCCTGCAGGTAATGTTTGTGTCTGGGTGTGTGTCGTTGTATTCAGACTTTCTCATGTTGCTATAAAGAAATACCTGAGGGGGTATTTTATAAAGAAAAGAGGTTTAGTGGGCTCATGTTTCCACAGGCTGTACAGGAAGCATGGTGTTGGCATGGCTTCTGGGGACGCCTCGGGAAATAGTCAATGTGAAGGCAGAGTGGGAGCAGGCACATCATATGGCCACAGCAGGGACAAGTAGCGGGGGGAAATGCCACACACTTTCAAAAACCAGCTGTCATGAGAACTCACTATCATGAGAACAGCACCAAGGAGATGGTGTCGCACCAACCGTGAGGGTTCTGCCCCAGGATCAGTCACCTCCCGCCAGGTCCCACCTCTAACATTGGGGATTACACTTCAACATGAGATTGGGTGGGGACGGATTCAAACCACATCAGTCCTTATTCCTGCCCCTGCCTGTCCATCGTCCTTAAATTGACCTTCACAGTGTCTGATGGGGACTCGGACGAAGGCTCAAGCAGGACCAGAATCACTCTAGTTGGGGATCTGACACCCCACGTTGTCCGCACTGCTGCGGAACAGGCCGGGAGATGCGTGTGCAGCAGGATCTAGTGAGCACGTTTGATGGGAGCACAGCCATGTCTTTAGGTTTGGTCTGTAAAACCAATGCAGTGCACTCGTGGCTGACGCTGCCACTTCAATGGGTGATGTTGAGAAACGCAGTCCCCGGGGCTGCTACTGGAGTGTCAACCCCTGGCTGCTTAGCGTGTCCTCTCCCTCTTGCCCCTTCTGAAACTCCTGATAAAGCAGGTTTGAGTCGCTATAAGTTTGTATTAGCACATCAAAATTTTTTCCAAAATATTTTATTGTAAAATATACATAGCATAACATTTACCATCTTAGCCATATTTAAGTGTGTGGTTCAGCGGTATTTGGTACATTCACAGTGTTGTATAGCCATCACCCCCACACAGCTCCAGAACTCTTTTCATCTTCTAAAACTAAAACTCTTAGCTTCAAGCTGGGGTAAATGGGGGGAAAAAAAACCCTAAAACTGCCTCCATAAACACCAACTCTCCATTCCCTTTTCCCCCAACTCTGGCAGCCACTATTCTACTTTCTGTCTCTATGATTTTGACTACTCTAATTTCCTCACAGAATTGGAATCACAGAATCTTTGTACTTCTGTGACTGGCTTATTTCACTTAGCACGCTATCAAGGTTCATGTTGTGCTAAGTGTGAGAATGTCCTTCCTCTGCAGGGCTGAGTAAAATCTCACTGTGTGTACATACCACATTTTGCTTATTCATTCATCTGTCAACGGACACTTGGGTTGCTCCCACCTTTTGGCTATTATGAGCGATGCTGCTACGAACACGGCTGTTCATTTACCTCCTTGAGATCCTGCTTTCCATTTTCAGGGGTATACAGCTACAAGTGGAATTGCTAGATTTTAAGTGGTACTTTTATTTCCTTTTCAGACTGTTCATTGTTAGTGTTTAATGCAGCTGATTTTTGTGTCTTGACTTTTTGGAGTCTCGCTCTGTTGCCCAGGTTGGAATACAGTGGCACAATCTCAGTTCACTGCAACCTCTGCCTCCTGAGTTCAAGTGATTCTTCTGCCTCAGCCTCCCAAGTAGGTAGGAATACAGGCACGCACCACCAGTAATTTTTTGAATTTTTAGTAGAGATGGGGTTTCACCATGTTGGCCAGGCCGGTCTTGAACTCCTGACCTCAAGTGATCCATTCATCTCGGCCTCCCAAAGTGCTGGGATTACAGGTGTGAGCCACCGCACCTGGCCTGTATATTTACTTTGTATGCTACTACATACTGATTTCATTTATTCTTTTCTTTAAAAAAGTCTCTCACTCTCTTGCTCTGTCACCCAGGCTGGAAGTGCAGTGGCACGATCTTGACTTACTGTAACCTCTGCCTCCAGTGTTCCAGTGATTCTTGTGCCTCAGCCTCCTCAGCACCTGGGACCACAGGTGCTGAGCACTGTGCCTGACTAATTTTTGTATTTTTTTGTAGAGATGGGGTTTCGCCATGTTGGCCAGGCTAGTCTCGAACTCCTGGCCTCAAGTGATCCGCCCACATCTGCCTCCTAAAGTGCTGGGATTACAGGTATGAACCACCATGCATGGCCTCATTTATTAGTTCTAGCAGGTTTGTGTGTTTGTGTGATCTTCAGGCACTTCTACTTAGAAGATCATGTCTGCAAATAGAGATAATTTTTACCTCTTTCACTGAAATGATCATCCTTTTTTGGAAGTGGAAGTGGCAGCCACAAATAATGGCCAGCCTGGACACTTCCTGATGCCCACTCGCCCCAGCTGGCCTCTTCCACCCCTGGCTCTGCTCCCTCTTGAGCCCACTCTGAGGCTGCAGCCCAGGCTGTCTGTGCCCCACACTCCCACAGATGAAGGGTCAGTGCGCCACTTCAGAATTGACAGCCCAGTGCGTGCTCAGGCCTTTCTGCCTCCCCTTCCCGCCCTGTCCTGAGAGCTCACCGATGCCCTCTGTGGCCCCGACCCAAGGCTTGTTTCTTGGCCTGCTCCTGCCATGCCCAGTCTGGCTTCCCTGCACTATGCAGGGCATACAGTAGGTGCTCATTGGGAAGTGAAGGAAACGCCCACCACTGAGAGACTGCTGAGGGGCTGAGAACCGCAACTTTGTTTAGGTTTTCTTCTGTATTTTCCATATCAGTACCTTGGGTTTAAACTTTTTTTTTTTTTCAATCTTTATCCTCAGGAATGTTCAAACAGATCATCTAGTAAAGCCGTTTTTCCCAGCTATATATAAGGAATTTGAAAGTCACATCAAATGGTTAAGAAAATGTACGAAGATTACCTCAGTAGTTCTGGTATGTGTTCTCAGGAGACCCTGAAAATAAACAATGGTAAGGTAACAACCTCCCGTAGCAGAAAGTTTTGCTCGTGGAGTTAGCCAAAAGAAGGGCAGGCACAGTGGCTTACACTCTGGGAGGCTGAGGCGGGTGGATCACTTGAAGTCAGGAGTTTGAGACCAGCCTGGCCAAGGTGACAAAACCCTAATACAAAAATTAGCGCATGCCTCTAATCCCAGTTATTCAGGAGGCTGAGACACAAGTATTTGTCACTGGAAGGCAAAGGTTGCAGTGAGCCGAGATTGCACCACTGCACTCCAGCCTAGGTGACAGAGCAAGATTCTGTCTCAANGATCTAGGGTTTTGTTCCACACAAGCTCCAAAGAAACTACCTCCAACTTGTCATCTGATCCAGCACGGGCAAAAGTACTCTTTTCCCGGTGGAGGTGGCTGGGAGAATTTACAGGCCACAATGACCAAAACAAGGAAGAGAATAAAGACAACTAGAGTTAAGACTATCTGCCACATGGCAAAGGAAGAAAGAGTGAGGTCTCAGTGATAGAATAAGAAGAAGATGGGAAAGAAAGAGAAAAGAGTAATTTCTGCTGGGGTGTAATCAATAAAATTTCCCTGCATCCAGTGGTTCATCAACCACTGTAAGATATCTCCTACCTCAAGGAAAGATGGCCTGAATCAGTGTACGTCTGCTAGCAGGAGTCTAATAAAACTGACAAATTTACAGATGAGACAGGACCACATACAAGAGTGACAGACAAAGGGTGGGTGCCCCCCAGATGGGAGACCACTCAGCTGCCTGCACGGCCACTTTCCTGGAAGAATTTTCAGGGGCGTCTTGGCTAAGGTGTACCCGTATAATCCCCAGGCCTGGTCACCTCAGGATGGAAGTACAAGTAGGACAGCTCTGAGGTGAATCACCGTTATGCCCTATGACGCTCCAGTGGAACCGCGGGTGAAGGCCCACACAAGCCCCGTAGCCTTTCAGCCGTGGGACTACATATATACGCACTCACTCTCTCACTCACGCAGAGGTTACGGAAAACAACTGAATGCTGCCACCCACTATGCCAGCTACCAGAGGCGAATGCTGGTACCCCTATGCCAGCTACCAGAAGGTGAACGCTGGTACCCACTGCACCAGCTACCAGAAGCCTCAAGCGACGTCTCGGTGAGGCTTGCCAGGTCAGAGTTGCAATGACTCGTCAGTCCCCCGACTCAGGCCCTTCCTTTGAACTAGTTCCCAGACCAGACTTACCTCCGGAGGTTTTTTTTTAGGACCCTGAGGAATTTCGGGTGAATGTCAGCTGAGAGGTCGCTTATCCTCCACGGTGGCTCTCCGGGGCCCTGGGAAAGAACAGGGGGCGCCTCCCCAGAGGCCCCCAAGGTGGGAGCGGCCGCCTGGGCGAGACTCTGAGATGGCTTTTGTCTGGTGATAACAAAAAGAGAATATCTCCGTAGGACCTCCAAATGTTCTACTGGACCGAGTGTAGAAAGTTAGCACCAAGACAAAAGTATGCCAGATTGCAGGGTCATTTATTATGCCAGCGACCACAGAGGACTCACGTCCCTCCAACCTGTGGTGTCAAAAGGAGGGTGCCAAGACTTTTTACACCCAAAAAAACACCTTGGGAGTGGGGGTGAGGAGTGAGGATGGGGATGAAAAGGTTTCGGACATTCCAAGGGCTAGGGGATTCTGTGATTCACCTCCTGGGCGGAGACGAGGGCGGGGTCTCCGGACATTCCAAGGGCCAGGGGACTTTTGTCATTCTGTTTGTTACTTCAGTGGTTTACAGAAGTCAAGATAAGCATTTGTTTACACACAGATCTTAGTTATCCTGGGCTGCTTATTTTAGTTATTACCGGTAAGCAAAGGCTAGCAATTCTGGCACAATATCACACATGCATACATTCCCTTTGCACCTTTTTGCACACTCATACACTCATTCACACTCCCATCGTCACAACACTGACACAATTCTGCCTGTCCTCACACTCATACACACTTGCCACACACACACTAACAATGTTCCATGCACACTCACACGTCCTCTACATTCAGTCACTAATCTACCTTCATGACCGCACACACGCAGGTTTTCTTTTTTTTTTTTTGAGACGGAGTTTCACTCATGTTACCCAGGCTGGAGNTTTTTGAGAAGGAGTGTGCTCTGTCGCCTAGGCTGGAGTGCAGTGGCTTGGTCTTGGCTCACTGCAACCTCTACCTCCTGGATTCAAGTGATTCTCCTGCCTCAGCCTCCCAAGTTGCTGGGTCTATAGGTGTGCACCACCACGCCCAGTGAATTTTTGTATTTTTAGTAGAGATGGGGTTTCACCATATTGGCCAGGCTGGTCTTAAACTCCTGACCTCATGATCTGCCCACCTTGGCCTCCCAAAGTGCTGGGACTACAGGCATGAGCCACTGTGCCTTGCCACACATGGCTAATTTTTGATTTATTTAAAAAAGAATTGTTTTGTAGAGATGGGGTCTAGCTTTGTTGCCCAGGTTGGTCTCAAACTCCTGACCTCAAGTAATCCTCCTCCCAAGGTGGCGGGATTATAGGTATAAGCCACCTTGCCCAGCTCATAGTTATTTTAGAAAGTGCCAGGCCATTTGGAATCGTTTGCCTTTTCCAGGACAGCTGAAGTGAACCTGCTGGTCATGCACAGTGCCTGGTGTGGGGGCCGGTGCCTGGGTAGCTGCATGTCTCGGCCAGGTGCCTGTCCACTCCCTTGACTGTTTTAACTTGGTACAGGAGGAATGGAAGTGGCAGCCCCAAATAATGGCCAGCCTGGGCTCTCCTGGCCCCAACTCACCCCAACTGGCCTCTTCTGCCCGGGCACTCTCCCTGAGCCCACTCTGAGGCTGCAGCCCAGGCTGCCAGTGCCCCACACTCCCTCCAGAGCTTACAGCCCAGCCGGGGCTCAGGGCTTCTCTGCCCTTCCTTCCTGCCCTGTCCTGGGAGCTCACCCGTGCCCTCCGTGGCCTCCACCCAAGACTTGTTTGTTTCTTGGCCGGCTCCTTCCATGCCCATTCTGGCTTCCCTGCGCCATGTGGGGCACACAGTTGGTGCTCGCTGGGGACAGAAGGAAATGCACACCAGAGCAGCTGCTGAGGGGTTAAGGAACCAGAACTTTGTTCAGATTTTCTTCTATATTTTCCATATCAGTACCTCGGGTTTAAACTTTTTTTTAATCTTTATCTTGACGAAGGTTGAAAAAAATCATCTAGCAAAGCCTTTCTTCCCAGCCGTATATAAGGAATTTGAAGAGCTGCATCAAATGGTTAAGCAAATGTGCGAAGATTACCTCAGTAATTCTGATCTGTGTTCTCAGGAGACCCTGGAAATAAATGATGATAAGGTAACAGTCTTCCATGGCAGAAAGAGCTTTGCTCATAGAGTTAGCCAGAAGAAAGAAGGGCCAGGCGCAGTGGCTTACGCTCGTAATCCCAGCACTTTGGGAGATTGAGGCAGATGGATCACTAGACGTCAGGAGTTCGAGACTAGCTTGGTTAACATGACAAAACCTAGTCTCTACTAAAAATACAAAATTAGCTGGGCGTGGTGGCACATGCCTCTAATCCCAGTTATTGTGGAGGCGGGGAACCTAGGAGGCGGAGGTTGCAGTGAGCTGAGATTGCACCATTGCAGTCCAGCCTGGGTGACACAGTGAGACTCTGTCTCAAAAAATAAAAAACTCCATGAATGAAGGAGAATGTTTTTAGTAATGATATTTTCCTAGCCAACCTCATTTTAGCTTTTTCCCATCAAGTGAATTTTTTTTCTCTTAAAGCAATAAATGTTCTTCCAGAAAACTCAACAATGAAGATATGCTAAAAGAAAATAGAAAACACCAGAATCTTCCCACTCACTGATGATCAGAGTTAATACCTCAGGTATTACTTTCTTCTTTTTGTTTTGAGACAAGGTTTCACTCTGTCTCCTAGGGTGGAGTGCAGTGGTACAGTCACAGCTCATTGTGGCCTTGACCACCCAAAAGTGCTGGATTATAGGCATGAACCACCATGCTCAGCCCTGATTTCTTCTTTATGTGGGTTTTGGGGGATGGGTTATATAGGCGGCCATTCATCATTGTTTATGGTTTTTCTGACACAATTCTCATTTCAATGTCATTATCAAATTGCCTTTAGCTACATTGGATTTTTTGGGGGTTTTGTGTAGAGTCTCGCTCTGTTGCCCAGGCTGGAGTGCAGTGGTGCAATCTTGACTCACTGCAACCTCCACTTCCCAGTTCAAACGATTCTCTCGCCTCAGCTTCCCAAGTAGCTGGGATTACAGGCATGTGGTACCATGCCCAGCTAATTTTTGTATTTTTAGTAGAGATGGGGTTTCACCATGGGCCAGGCTGGTCTCAAACTCTTGACCTCAGGTGATCCACCTGCCTCAGCCTCCCAAAGTGCTGGGATTACCGGCGTGAGGCACCACATCCAGCCCCCTGCTGTGCTTTTTAGTGAAGCATCAGGCAGGAGAGGTGCCCCACTGACCTAGAGTTCCTACTTTATCATCTAATTCTACTCTCGCTCGTAACTTCCCACTCTTCTAACCTTCTAGTTTTTTTCAAAGTCCCTGTGATCAACACATTTTAAACAGAGAAGGAAACACTAGTCATAATTTTAAAACATTTTTGGAACATAGAAAACACATCCTTTTTAGACTTCAGGAAGGAACAGGAGTTAGTAGGGGAGGCTTGCACCCATCCATGCTTCTGAGAGTGCACTCACAAATGCATGCACACTCCTATGCTTGCATTCTCATGCCCTTTACACTTGCACTCAGATCCACACCAACATGTGCACTCATACATGACATGCCCACACTCATGCATCACACCCTACGCTTGCACTGTCACAGGCACACTCACTCTTACATGCTCACATTTATACACACTCATACATCCACACACACCGTCACACAACATGCACACCCACAAGCAGTCACACACTTTCCCACACACTTGCATTGCACACACTGGCACATACTATGTGCCTTCATGTGTTACACACACACTCTCACTCCTTGACTCCACACCCCTGTGCACTCATTCACACTCCCATCAGGACACTGACACTGTTCTACGCACACACACATATCCTCCACAATCTGCAGTGACTAACTTACCCTCACGACCACATGCAGGTTTTCAAATGCACTCATACGCATACGAACTTGCGCACACCCCCCTGCACACTTGTTCACACTCCATGTACTCACACACATACACACCCCCTTGCACACTTGTTCACACTCCATGTACTCACACACATACAGACTCACATCCCGCTTTGCACACACAGCCCCACCCACTCACCCCAAGCCCACCTGACGCTGACCTGTGCGGCTGGCCCTCTGCCTGGGCTTGGAGGCTCCTCAGGGCAGAAGCTCCTGCTGCTTTTCCCACTGCCGTGTCTTCTGTGGCTTCAACATCGCCTAGTGTGGGCTGCCATTCTACAAACACATTGTCAGCAGTCAACCAAAGGAAACCCACTGGCGACCGTGCCCTCAATAGTCAAACTTATTCCATCGCCCCAGCCTCGGGGGAGAAGCGCTGCTGCCTGTGCACTGCATTTACGGATGAGACTGGGAGAGGTTTAGAGCGTGGCTGAGTCCCTTGCCCACACAGCTGGCTCCAAATCTGTCTTCTCACCCTCCCACTTCTCAGGCTAAAATCACACTCGATGTTTTTGTGGGGCCGTTTGATCTGGACATTGTCAAAGAAAAAAATGCACCAGACAAGTTAAACGTGCAAGGCAGGCTTGAGTCAGGACTATTGCCATACCGAAGAGAGAAGGAGCTTAGCCTTGTTAAACAAAAGGCTGGAGAGTTTAAGTGCTGGGGTGAGATGCCGAGAAGGAACTGGAGACATCAGGAAGAGGTTAGGAAATGCGGTAAAGCGATCTGTGTTCGCTCATTGGAATTTTTCAAAACTGGAAACCTGCCCTTCTACAAAGACTGACAGATGTATCATCTTCAATTACTACATTTTAAAGGGATGGCTCTGAGGTCTTGAGAAAGACATTCCTGGGTTGTAAAACTAGCAAGAGGCTAGAAGAAGATTTGAGACAAGATTTGCATCTCAAAGAGGTAGAGAAAGAACTCACCATTGCAAGTTTCCTAAAATAAATCCTCCGTTGACGGGTGGAACTGGAGGTCATTATATTAAGTGAAATAAGCCAGGCACAGAAGAAAAATATTGCATGTTCTCACTCACATGTGGGAGCTTCAAACCTGGACCTCATGGAGAAAGAGAGTAGAACGGTGGCTACCAGAGGCTGTGAAGGGAGATAAAAACACTTTGATTAATGGGTACAAATATATGGGGGGGTTTGCTTTTTGGTGACAGGCTTCTGCTCTGTTGCCCAGACTGGAGTACAGTGGTGCAATCACAGCTCACAGTAACCTCGAACTCCTGGGCTCAAGTGGTCCTACCACCTCAGCCTAGCGAGTAGCTAGGACTGCAGGTACGTGCCGCCACGCCAGGCTGATTTTTGTATTTTTTGTAGAGACAGGGTCTCACTAGGTTGCCCAGGCTGGTATCCCAACTCCTGGGCTGAAGCAGTTCTCCCGCCTTACAAATATACAGTTGATAAAAGAAATAAGACCTACTGTTCAGTAAATCATCAGAGTGACTAGTTTATAGTAATCTATTTTACATTTCAAAATTGTAAGGTCTTTCTTTCAGGCTGACGGCACCATGGCCCACATGCACATCTCTGGAGGGCGCCATGAAAAGTGGAAGATCGATCAACCCCTGCAACACCTAACTAACTTGAGACATTCTTCTATTGTTTATTATTCCAGCCTCAATTGACGAGGCCATGGAACTTTTAACCAACTTTGATCAACCTCATGACTCCAGACCCTACGACTCCCTCCCAGCTTGCAAAAAGCCTCCCTAAACTGTAACTTCTGTAACTTTCCACTGCCTTACCCAAACCTATAAAACCAACTCCTATCCCACCACCCTCCTCCACTGACTCTTTTTGGACTCGGCCTGCCCACACCCAGGTGAATAAACAGCCATGTTGGTCACACAAAGCCTGGTTGGGGGTCTCTTCATTCAGAGCATGCATTTTAACATTTGGTGCCGGAAACCCAGGATGGGGGTACTCCTACGGGAAACTATACCCCCTGTCTCCTTGTGCTCCCTCTGTGAAGAGACTTACCTGTGACCTAGGTTAATCAGATCAACCCACAGACCCACTCCCCATCCTCAGATGAGGTAAGCAGTTGGCCTTAACTCTTCTCTTTAGCCCTTCTCGCTGCCTGTCAACCTCCTCCTCCACTCAGTTTCATTTTCCTCTCCCTTTCAGCGGAGACAGGAAGGACAGGACTTTCCGTGAGGTTCACGACTGGAAAAATCCTACACAGGTCACGGAAGCAGGAAAACAGTCTTCCCTCAGTGACTGATCATTGCGGAGACGTCCACTCTGGTCACTCACTCGCACTCACAGGTGATGGATCAACCCGCGGGATGCCCCCTTTGACCGATTCACCCAGGTTCAGACCAAGGTTTAGTCTGGGCCGCCTGCTAAGCTGCTTCGTTGCACATTCACTTTCCTTGTCTCCGTCACTCTTCTGAAACTCTGGGCAACCTCCCGCCCTCCATTCCTCCCTCCTCTCCCTTAGCCTGCATTCTGAAAACCTCAGACCTCTCTGGCTATCACCTCACCTAAAACCTAAGCGACTTATTTTCTTTTGCAGTACCGCTTGCCCACAATATAAATTGGACAATGGCTCTCAATGGCCAGAAAACGGTGCCTTCGATTTTTCTATCCTACAGGATCCAGACAAGTTCTGTTATAAAATGAGCAAATGGTCTGAAATTCCCTATTTCCAGGCGTTTTTATTTACACACCAATCCCTCTCTAATCTCTGCTCTCAATACATCCTATCCCAAATTTTCCTTCTCTGCCTTCCGTCCGCCCCTCCTGCCTCTGCCGGTGACCCAGAATCGTCCTTGTCCATCGACCCTTCTGACCTTTCTCCTCCCCACCTGTCTGAACCAGGTCCTAATCCAGGACCTAACCCTGCCCCCCAGAACCTCCCTCCTCTTCCTCCTTACGCCCCTCCTGTCACCTCCACATCTCATACATGGTCCAGCTTACAGTTTAGTCCTGAAGCTACCTCCTCCGCCCCTGCCCAACAATTCCCCCTTTGAGAGGTGGCTGGAGCCGAAGGCATAGTTAGGGTGCATGTTCCTTTCTCCTTATCTGACCTTTCCCAAATCGGCCAACGATTAGGCTCCTTTTCATCAGATCCTTCAATACTTAACCCAGTCCTATAATCTCCCCTGGAGTGACTTAAATGTCATACTACTCTCACCCCTGAAGAACGCTTAATATGCATTTTACCACCCAGTCAGCCCCTGACCTTACAAAAATCTACAGAAATTACAAACCCCATAGCAGGAATTAATCAACCACACCTTCAAGGTGTTCAATGATAGGGAAAAATCTACCCCGCAGCAGCACATCTCTGAACTACAGATGCTTGCCTCTGCCACAAGACAAACCCTAGCCACACCCCTGGCCAAAAGCCTTCAAAGCGCCCAGACTGCGGCATCCAGCCACCCCTCCCCGACCTTGCTTCAAGTGTCCGAAACCTGGCCACTGGGCCAAGGAATGCCCATAGCCTGGGATTCCTCCTAAGCTCTGCCCCATCTGTGTGGGCCCCCACTGGAAGTCGGACTGCCCCGACTCATGTCGCTGCTCCCAGAGCTCCTGGAGCTCCGACCCAAAGCTCCTAACCAAATCCTTCCCAGATCTCCTCAGCTTGGGGGCTGAAGACCGACACTGCCCAAACACCTCGGAAGTCCCCTGGACCATCATAGATGCCGAGCTTTGGGTATTTCTTAACGGTGGAGGGTAAGTCCATCCCCTTCTTAATCAACAACTGGGGCCATCCACCCCACACTGCCTTCTTTTCAAGGACCTGTCTCCTTGGCCTCCATAACTTGTGGGAATGGACGGCAAGGCCTCCAGGCCTCTCAAAACACCCCAAGTCTGGTGTCAATTAGGTCAGCACTCCTTTCCACATTCTTTCCTAATCATCCCCACGTGTCCAGTTCCCGTGTTAGGCTGAGATATCCTAACAAAACTGTCTGCCTCTTTATTCCTGGGCTGCAGCCACGCCTCATCGCTGCCCTCCTCCCCGAACCCGTACCTCCCTCAATAGCTCCTCTTACATCCCCCTACCTTAACCCTAGGGTGTGGGACACCACCTCCCCATCCCTTGCTACAAGTCACTCACCCCTCATTATCCCTTTAAAACCTAACCACGCTTACCCCACCCAACAACAGTACCCCATCCCACAATAGGCTTTAAAGGCCTAAAGCCTGTTATCACCCATCTATTACAACATGGCCTTCTAATTCAACCTCCTGCTTCTTCGGCATCTCTACTCAAAGGTATCTCACGTACCCCCTTCCAAAGCTCAAATTTCTTCCCCATCCATCTTCTATCTTGACATAATCCTCCAACAGAACACACACGCTCTCCCTACTGACTGTGTCCAGTTAATCTAGCAAACCCCAATCCCATCCACTAAACAACAGCTTCTCCTTCCTAGGCAGGTAGGATACTTCCACCTCTGGATACCAGGCTTTGCTTTACTGGCAGAACCACTCTATAAGCTTTCAAAAGGCAACTTAGCTGACCCCAGACTAGATCCTTCCCTCATTCTGGTTTTCATTCTCTGAAAAAAGCCCTGGAAACAGCTCCCACACTGGCGCTTCCCAACTCCTCCCAACCCTTCTCCTTACACACAACAGAAGTGAAAGGCTATGCCATCTGAATTCTTGCACAAGAGCCACGCCCACAGCCTGTGGCCTTTTTATCCAAACAACTTAACCTCACAGTCTGGGGCTGGCCCTTACGCCACGTGCAGCAGCAGCAGCCGCAGCCCTTGCTGGTTCCCTTGGGATTTGGGTCCAAAGCTCCAGCCCCCTCAGAATACTTTCTCAGCTTTTCATTTTACACTTCCAGTTCTGTCTAAGCCAAGCACTTTTTTTTTTTCCCCTCTGTGATTCCTCTTACATCTGCCTCCCTACCAGCCGGACAGGCACTTGTACCCTAGTTTTCCTTACTCCCAAAATTCAGTTTGCTAATGGAAACAAAAGCCTCCTTGTTCCCCTTGTGGTCCTGACATGACACAAGTGGGTCATTCCATTGATCCCCTTACTTGTGGTTAAGAATTACTACTGCACTCTAGCAGGCCTTACCACTTCAATCGTCTGCTTCTATAGCCTCTCTAATAATTTCTCTGCTAGCATTGCAGAATTAATCACTATCCCTTCTTCAAGCTCACGTAAATTCCCTAGCTGCAGTTGTCCTCCAAAACCACAGAGGCCTTGTTTACTGACTGCTGAAAAAGGATGTCTTTGCCTGTTCCTAAATGAAGAATGTTGTTGTTATGTAAACCAGTCCAGCCTCATATATGACGCCATCAGTAAATTAAAAGACAGAGCCCAAAAGCTCGCTACTCAGGCAAATGGTTATTCTGGACCTAGCTGGACTGGCTGGACACTCTAACTGGGAGTCATGGCTTCTTCCAACCCTTAGTCCTCTGATACCCATCTTTCTCCTTATTTGGATCCTGTGTTTTCTGATTAATCTCTCAGTTCCTACAAAATTGTATACAAGTGATAACCAATTAGTCAATGACAAATGTTCTTTCTAACAACCCCACAATATCACCCCTCGCCCCGAGATCTCCCAGCATTCTAAATTCGTTCCTTTTTAGGTTTCCACATTGCCCCCAATTTTGCTCAAAGAAGCCCTAAGAAACATCACGCCATCACCCCTCTGTGCCGGCCTTCCTAATATTCCACTGCCCTCCACTCATTTTTTTTCCTTCATATTACTAACATAAAAAGATAGGAATGTAAGATCTTTTAGGCTGACTGACGGCACCATGGCCTGCACATACACCTCTGGAGAACCTTCTGGAATCAGAAAAGCTGTAGTAACTAGAAGGCCATGAAAAGCGGAATAAAACGATCAACCCCTGCAGCACCTAACTAACTTGAGACATTCTTCTATTGTTTCTTATTCCGGCCTCAATTGACGAGGCCATTGGATTTTGTAACCGACCTTGGTCAACCTCATGACTCCAGACCCTATGACCCCCTCCCAGCTTGCAAAAAACCGCCCTAAACTGTAACTTCTGTAACTTTCCACTGCTTACCCCAAACCTATAAAACCAACTCCTATCCCACCGCCCTCCTCCACTGACTCTTTTCAGACTCAGCCTGCCCACACCCAGGTGAATAAACAGCCATGTTGCTCATACAAATCCTGTTTGGGGTCTCTTCATTCAGAGCATGTGTTTTAACAAAAATAGCTAGAAGATAAGAATTTAGATGTTTCTAGCTTAATAAAAAGGCAAATATTTAGGGTG